CAGTTATGAAGTAGCAACGAAAATAATTTTATGGTTGGGGGTCACCACAACATGAGGAACTGTATTAAAGGGTCGCAGCATTAGAAAGGTTGAGAACCACTGCCTTAGGGTAACTTGGGACAGTTTTTCTTCACCTCCAGCAAAGCAGATCTGATTCAAAATGCTAGGTGAATTTTCTGATCCAATCTGCAGCTCTGGAACTGAGATATGCTGCAAATATTGTTGGTACAAAAGGTCTGAAAACAGAAAGAAGGAGGGAGGGAGAGACTGTCCTGCATTCAGTAATGGACACAGCTGTTATGAAATGAAATAACTTATGATGAAACAAATAGCCAAACCTGAAGGCAACACAAGAAGTAATGGATGGAAGCTTAATGAAAGGAGATCCAACCTAGAATTAGGAAGTTATTCTGTATTTTGGTTAATTAAATAGGGAAGCAAGGATGGTGAAGGGGATTTAATCAATTTGCATCTTATCTACAGAAACTTTAAGTGTGGGGAATCAGTCACCAAACTAACAAGTATCATCTAATGCAGTGGTTCTTAACCTGGGTGATATTGCCCCCCAGGGGGCGATTTCATTTTTCAGAGGGGTGATGGAACAAAAAGGGGGTGATATGGGGGCGATGGAGCGATAGGTTTTGGGGACACTTTTGAGACTTTTTCGTACAGTGAATCGCTGTATATCTGATGGAGGGGGGAGCGCTTCTTTTGAAACATCGCATGCTGAGTGGCTCTGTAAAACATTTTGTATTGTATTTTTTTAGCGTGCACTCCAGTTCGATATTATATTTTCTTTGTGTCTTTTTAATCCTTTTTACAGTGTGTGTGACTATATATAGTTTCCTCGAATCTTAATTTAGTTTCAGAGTTTTCATCTTGAAATTCTTAATTCCTGCATTGTGGTTTGTTCTTATGCCCTTTTTATATTTCTTTTTGCGTCTTAAATTTCACTTGTAATTCAATCATTAAATGTTACTGTTTTTCTTTTCAGGCATTTCACTTTCTTGCAATTGAATTTTGTTTTCAAAGTGGTCATTACATTTAAGTGTCTTGAATAAATAAGATAATAATGAAATATATGTATCACAAAGTTTGGGAATAAAGTGACGGGTGGCACCAAAATTTGTCACACAGTTGAGATATGGGAAAAAGATTGGAAATAAATTATTTGCATCAATATGTCCTGATGACAATTTTAAAGAAAATAAAACAAGTGTTTGCATAAATTGAAGAATTATTTCCTATGTTGTGATTGAGAGGTTATGTTGGGGTAGGGGGTGATGACAACTTCCTCATTGGCTCAAGCGGGCGATTTGTTCAAAAAGGTTAAGAACCACTGATCTAATGAACCATCACAAAAGTGACTAGGATACTGCTCGATGCAATTGTTAACTGGCAAACTGCATCTAATCTCAGTTTCCTGTGTTATCTGGCACTGGAACAATGAATGTGTATCTTATCCATTTTTAATGGGTGTAAACACTGTGTAAGCACACTCAATTTGCCTTTTTTTTTTTCAAAGATGACTTGGCAGAGAAAGGCTCTATTTTTTTTCTTTCTGCTCCTAAGTAATCTTTTAAAGTCAATTTGAATTGGCCTTGAAGCAAAAGAGAAGAGAATTTACTAAGAATTAGTTGTTTTAAATTGTATCTGTTTACCACTCCCAGCTATAATGGCATTTAGTAGGCTAATAAAAGTGAGAGAAAATAAATGGAAGAAACTTTAAATTAAAGAGTCTTTTGTTTTATAAACTGGCCAAAGATGCAGAAGCAATGCTCCACCAACCAACACCTGGGGCCTTTTCTCAGTCATATTTTACTGCCCTCTTGGTTATTTTTAAATGGAAGCCACATGCTTCCTTTAGTGACCTTCTGCTCTTTGTTCCACAATTGGGGGGAAACAACACTGCTATAAACCTTTGCTCTTCCTGACCACAACAAAATAAAAACAAAATAATGATGTTGTACCAGAGTCCACATCATTCTCATCTACAAGAGTCTGGACTCAACCCAAATAAGGCAATTCTTCACATAGATTATGTACAAATCCACTTGCTTGCTCAATTTCAGTTCCACTTGGCATTAGCCAGATGTTCTCAGTACTTTTAAGAAAATATGTGTTATATAATCTGAACATTATTACACAACATAACCTTTATATTTGGGGGGAAATATCTCCTTATCCAATTTTAGAAAGAAAGGAACAGAAGGTCAGTAGGAGAATCCATGGATGCTTAAGTCAGATGCTTAAGCGGTCCCAAAGGTGCTTTTTCCAAAAGGCAGTTGGACTTTCTTGGGATTTTTTTCTTTGACATTGTTTCACTTTCCATCCAAGAAGCTTCTTCAGTTCTAACTGACTGGTGGGGAATAGAAAGATTTATATTCTTTGCAGCCATCTGGTCATTAGCACTCTGAGAGTTGATGAGGCCACTTGGGGGTTTATCTGTATCCCCAAAGTCACCTGAATCAGAGTGCAAATGGGTGTGGAAACTTCTTGAGTGAAAGGATGGCATTGTAAACAGGAGAGAGGTGGTGTCATATCCCTCCCCATCTATTGAGGGAGGGTTGTTCAGTTTTAACATAGATGGCCTCTTTGACTCCTCTTTCAAATCAATGATCCTCTCTGTCCAGAATGTGAACCTTGCTGTCTTCAAAAGAGTGACCATTGTCTTTCAGATGCAGATGGACTCCTGAATCCTATCCTGATGAGTTTGTTCTCTGTTGTGCCATGCATTTTTGAAATGGAAATTGCACTGCATATACCACATTGCTCAGTTTGTGTCTGGGTATTTTGTCTTTGGGGTGAACAAGCTTCTGCCTTAATATATTCCTGGGTTTAAAGTGTGCCTGTATGTTATATTGGCTGAAAATCCTATTGAGATTTTCACCTATTCTTGCAATGTATGGAACTACAATGTTGCTCCATTTGTTGTTCTCTTCTTTGTCTCTTATGAAGGAGCTCCTGCAGGAGCTTTTTGTGGATTGATGAAGGCTCAGTTAGGATAGCTACATGTTTCCTTGACATGTTTTTCTTCTTTCTCTTTTCCGTCTTTGTTGGTAAGCAAACATTCAGCCCGGTGGTGTAGGATTCTGATTACTCCCAGTTTACGTTCCAGTAGGTGATAAGAATCAAAATGTAAATATTGATCTGTGGGGGGCAGGGTCTGTATTCTTCAATGTTGAGGTTTCTGTATTCCTTAATGTAGTCCAAGAAGGCCAAAATATTTTCCATAACATCTTCCCATGTGAATGCAAAGCCCCTGTCCACAGTATTGATTTGTTTGGTGAAGGCTTCCTGTGTTTTAATTTTGACCCAATTATCATCCACATATCTATAACAATGAGTGGATGGAATTCCTGTGAAGGGGTTTAGGGCTTTGGTTTCTACTTCTTTCATGCAGAGATTGGCCACAATGAGGATCACTGGTAAGCCCATGGTGTAGCCATGTTTTTGTCTGCATAAACCTTTGGGTATTTGAAATAGGTGGTGGTCAGACAAAGGTCTAGCATGGCACATGCAGATAGGTGGTCTGGGCTGAGGTTGTTACTATCTCCTAATGTGCCCTCTTGTAGCAATCACTTCTTCACTACTATGATTGCTTCTGCTCTTGGAACACAGGTGAAAAGTGAAGAAACATCATAAGAAACCATTCAGGATCCAGTTTTAGTTTCCGAATGTTAATGACAGTCCTGTAAGTTGTTGATGTGATGGGTGGTCATGCCAACCAGAGAAGCTAATAAAGTGGTTTCTAAAACTCTGGTTTCCTCTTTGACTCTGTGTTAAAATTGAACAGCCCTCCCTCAACAGAAGGGGTGGGATATGATGCTATCTCTCTCCTGTTTACAATCTAGTCCTTTCAGCAGTCCCAAGAAGGTTCCACACTCACTTGCACTCTGATTCAGGTGACTCTGAGGGTATAGATAAATCCCCAAGTGGCCTCAACAGCTCTCAGAATGCTAACAACCAGATAGGTGCAAAGAATATAAATCCTTCCATTCCCCACCAATCAGTTAGAACTGAAAAAGCTTGTTCGATGAGAAGCAATACATTTTCGAAGACAAAAACCAAGAAAATCCAGTTGGCTTTTGGAAAAAGTACCTTCGGGACAGATAAACATCTGCAGAATTTGTTTTAGCAGTATTTTAAAGTTTATCGTTGCAAAGTAGCACTGACAGTTAGGTTATTGTTGCTTTTGCTTTCTGTTGCAACTCTATTTTTCTGAGCTTTCCTGATTCCTGAGGTTATGATTTATGAAAGCCCCTTGGGGGAGCTGTCTCATGATATCTTCCCTTCAGTTTTAAGAGACGCACAGGTTTCAGACCACTGAAGATATAGTTAGAAGAAGACAAGACATCATATATGCACACATGCACCAGCCACCTCACCACAGAATTATGAAGACTGAGCACAACCCACACAAATTTCATCCAAATGTTCTTTGCGGGGTGGAAAAAAAACAAACCAAAGGAATTTCCTTTCTAATGAATGAAAATTGTTAAAGAACATGCAAAACATTCAATCCAGTATGGTATTTTTTTTTTTTTTTTGCAAGAGTTGTCCAGTATTCCAAACAGAGAATCTTTCCCATTAATGCTGCAATGTTTTTCAAAATATGGCAATGCCAGGGAGCAGTTCTGTAGGGAGTTGTACTCCCTTTCCTCAGTGGTGCCACTGAGGCTAAACCACCAGGCAGAGTGCCTAAATCTGTCTTGGAATTTCTTCACATTTTCTTCCCCTGAGAGAGAATGGATCTTGCTCTCAAATTGATTGGCTTTATTTTTATGTTTCAAATTCCTTTTAGTGGTGTTTTGTGCTGACAAACATAGGACAATGGCACACGATCAAATGGACGCAAAACTACTTCAAAGCATTATTACAAAAGTGCTGTAACATCTGATTCCAACCATGGGAATTTCATTCAAATTCCCTTTTCCTCCGAAAGACATTTCAAGAGCAAACTGAAGAGAATTGAAAAGAAAGTCTGCAAGAGAATTGTATCTAATTTATTTATTTATTTATTTATTTATTTACCGTATTTTCCGGCGTATAAGACGACCCCCGACTTTGGAGAAGATTTGCATGGTTAGAAAGGAGGGTGAAAGACAGCAATTGCCAAATACATTCAGGGAACTTCCATTGCTATAGTTGGCGTAAGCCAGGATCTCCCTGGTTTTGACCTAAAATTTATCTCGTTGCTTGCTGCCTGCATTTCTTCTTCTCTGCAGTGGGGAAAAAAACAGATGAACTGGTAAAATGTCAGGAAAAAAATAGAAGGGAGAAACATAGGCATATGTGTGATATATAGAGTAACACAGCGGTTCAGGAGAGAGGCCTTCTCTGCTGTGGCTCCTGCCCTTTGGAGCATCTTACTCCTGAGGTGAGATTGGCTCCCACCCGTCTGATCTTCCATAAGGGCCCAAAGACTGGTTCTGCCAGATGGTTTGGAGCTCCAATAGGGGAGCATCATTCTGGAGGTGATTGATGAATTAAGAGGCAAACTCACTTTCTTCCCCACACCCCATTCATTCTTTTCCCTCCCTCCCCATCTTTTAACCATAATTTCTTTAATTGTGTTTCCATTTTTATCATTTTAGAAATATTTATCTTTTATGGTTTTAATGCTTTTAATGCTGTAAGCCACCCAGAGTTATTTCGCAGTGAGATGGGCGGCAAATAAATCTAATAAATAAATAAATGGTACACGTATGGGACCCTTGGCTAGCATCTTTCTGCCCAGTTGCTGCTGCTTCTACCAATGGGTCTTTATGCTATGCAGACATTGAGGCAGTCTCAAACCAATCTAGAGCTTCAAGTATTCCATAGGTAATCAATCGGATTATCTTGTTATCTATCATAGTTTGGCTTACCAAAGCAAATAATTTTCCATTTTTTTAAGGATGAGAATGGTTAGACAAGACTCTAAAAATACAAGCCAACAACTATTAAGGTTGAAAATGATTTTTCTCCCCTGTTTGGTGTGAATTATATTAGTTTGATTTTAATCAAGGAGGAAATGACTTGATTGAAAGTTGAACAATCTACTTTTTTTAAACACACACACACACATTTGTGTTGGTCAGGAAAACTCACTGGAGGGCAGCACTGGATTTTATTTCCCATCACTGACTGAATGTACCTTCGTGGATAAAATTTCACAACTGGCTTTCAGTCTGTCAATGGGAAGTAAGCGCACTGAGCTTCTGGATTGTAAATACATTTGTACTTTAATCTCTGATTATGCTTTAGTTCATCTCTTGTGTCATTGATGAGCCTTGACTTTATAGTTAATATTTACCATAGATAGTTCTGAAAAAAACAAGTTCCAGTGGAGCTTCTGCTTAGGCCATCAAAATTACATTACTGTATGAACATAAGTGCACAGCAACCATATTTTTACTCAAATAATTGATCCTCTATAGAAGCTGTTTTATCTACAGGAGGCAAAGAATCTTTTGGAGACAATCTAGATTATGGAGTGTGCCTTTTGAAAGGGATTCTCAGCAGTGCCAAAGCTTAAACCCACAAACTAGCAGCTTTCAGTTCTTCACTGCTGCTCTCATCATGATCATTATTATCTTCTTACATTGCTTGCCAGTTTTTAGGTATTTTTCTGAGCCAGGGAAAGATTTGGCAATACTGAATTCGGAAATAATACCAAAGAGCTGGCTGATTAAAAACAGATTCCAACATGAAGATGTAAGTTTTAACAGGTTATTTTTGTCATAGATATAATATACCAATAAGAGGATACTAAGGACACAGCCGAAACAGGACATACACATTTAACTAATGCCATAAAGCCTGATTTTTAAAGTAAAGGGACAGAATCTAATGGTGTATTTTCATAAGCAGAAGCAATTTTCATATGTGGAATGGAAGGGCGATTCCCCTGTCCTTTGCAACTCTTCATTCCCCTCCTCCAAATTTGGGGAAAATTAAAAAGAAGTCCCTCTGCATTGTAGATAATTGTTGGAGTCCATGCAAGAAACAAAAGCACAACTATATACGTCAGTAAATAACTTGGGTTTGAACTGGACTATGTGTGTGTGTGTCTAACTATAGTTTAAATGTGGTTCAATCCACTAAGACTCAATGTGTGTTACAATTAATAAAAGTTACCAGAGTTTTTCCAAAATCAAACCCCCAAATATATCAAATTTACTTAGTTTTCAAAATGATAAGGTGGCCTGACTTTAGGGGACAGATAATATTAAAACCAAATTAACAACGAGGAAAAAAATAGCCAATATCTGAACAGAATAAAACAAATACCTTGGCACACATATAGCATTTTGACAAGGGCCCCACAATCCAATTTTACCCAAGGCCTGGGGGATGAGTTTTAAGGTCTATTTCAAGACAGGGCACTGGCTATATGAATCTTGGAGATGGATGCTGTTCCAGAGGACACTGGGACAGAGAAGGCTTGCTTCCTGGATCCCATCAGAAGACACTATTTAAGCATGCCAATTTTATCAATCTAACCAAAATATGAGTGACAGTCCAGAGAGCCTCCTAGTGCAGAAATGGGTGGAACTGGTGCACAGAATATATACAAAGGCCTTCCTGGCTACAGCAGCTACCTGATCCCAAAGCTGTGTACCAGTCACAAATAGTCCATTTAGGATTATGGATGGAAAGCTTCCATTCTAGATAATCCAATTACCCACAGCCCCTTGATCTTCTTGTTGAACATGAGCCTGTTCCTCCCCATCCAGATCCCCACAACTTCCAAACACCTGGACAAGATCTTAACGCATCACTTAGTTAAATAAGTATTATTAGATACCTTGTATACTTGTGATGCTTGGCCCCAAACCAATGGATGATCTCACTCAGTAAGTACAGGAGAAGAGAGAGTGCCAAGACCTGTGACACTCAAGAATATCATGAGCTATAGGTTTAATCTCTCCCCAACACCAACAAACCTGAGTAGAACTGGTTTCAGAGAAAAGAAGAAAACCACTACAACATAGCATTCCCACTCCTAAATCAGTGGTATTGAAAGCCACTGAAAGAGCCAGGATCATCACGTATGCTCTGTCCTGGAAAAGAAGTGTGCAATGCTAATGTACATGAAATAATATTTTTCTACTTTATTGAAATATGATCTACAGATGCCAAATAGTTTTCCATTGACATTAATGTATTCATTCCTCCCTGTGCTTTTGGATATCTGAGTATTTTAACAACGTGTTTATAAATAATACATGTCCATTTATTGTTTTATGAAGAGCCTATTGGATCCTCTATAAACAGAGTGAGTTTTAAAGCATTCAGTATCTAAGTAGCCAACAGAGTTACTGATATTTTGATACTGATACAGATACTATTCATTGAATTAACTGATTGAAAATATACCCTCCATCGGTTCTTAGCCTTTGCAATATAACCCCCCACCACCACACAATGTTCTGCTATATTCAACAAAAATACTGATGCTCAGATTTAAATTCACCCATAGAGTTAATTGAGCATAATTGCAAGAATAACTCCAAGCTACTATGCTATTTTACTTTTACCTCTCTCAGAGTTAAATTGAAGAGAAGTTGCATTCTTTTCTAATTTACAAGGAGGGGAAGCTATGCTGATTCTAAGAAAGCCAATAAGCGGATATTTCCAAAAGATAACATCTGTCATTAATATACTTGAGGCAGTGGATCAGCCTTATGATATCTAAAAAATATTAAATCTTCTTCTTTAGTTGATAACTTATGTTTCCTAAGTGAAAAACACAGAGAATGTTTTATTTTATATATTTATTAATCAAATTTATATAGTGGGCCATCTTACTAAAGGCAATTCTGGTTTCCCCAAATAACCCTTTAAAACAGTTTGTTAAAAGCCTGAAGATATTCATTTTTAAAATATTAATTTTATTCCTAGTACTCAGTGTGAGTGGGGTCCATTTATCCAAATCTATTGCTGTTTTGGATAGCAATAGGTCTAAATTCAGTTTCATCATTTGAGATACATCTTTTGTTATTCAGTTCAAGAAAAGTTATTGCCTCTATCAGTGACATTAATTTTAGTGCAAAAGGCTCAGATTTATTATTCAGTATCAACTTACCATATGAACAAAACTATTTTGGATTCCTTACCAGCATATATCAAACCATAATTTTTTCTAGTTAAGTTAGTTGCTCATGCTGAAAATACTGAGCACTGATCTAACAATACATTTTAAAAATCCAGTGCTATCAGGCACCCCTCTTTTGTTAAAAAAGAAAGAAGAAGAAGTTTGGTTAGCATCCCATTTATCTTCTTTTGCATTGTTGGATGAAACACACAGCAATTAAAAAAGAAAAAAGTAGATTTTGATGTTAAAGAAACTAATCTGATGTTGAACCTTATAACAGTTGCAAGATTATTGGTGGGGCAATATTGGAAGAAAAACTTGTTGCCTACTTTGGAAGAATGGATACTTAAAGTGTCTAATTTAGCAGACATGGCAAAAATCTCCGCCTATTTGAAGGTTCATTCACAAGAAAAATATATTATGGTTTGGAGAAGATGGATTGATTACATTCAGAAGAAGTATGAGATTGAAAAGTATTATCTTGCTTTTGAGTAGATTTTAGATAATTATTATTAGTTTTAATTATTTTATTATTTTTGACTTAATTTGTTAATATTTGTTGGGAGAAGGAGTTAAAGTATGTTATGGTTTTGATTGATAGTATAGTTGATTAATGTTAGTTAGATTATGTTTGTTTATTTTATTTTTTATCCTGTAATCAGCTCTGGGAAGTGGGGGAGGGGGAAGGGGTGGGGGGTTATATTGTAATAAATTTATAAAACTTTTAAATAAAAAAAAGAAAGAAAAAAGTATCCAAATTGGAATCAAGCCTTGTGATTATGAAATACTCATGTCCCCAAACTGGAACTGACCCTATCATTGCAATAATTCCCAGCAATCTGCATGACTCAGACTTCCTATTGCTGTGCCAGATTACACTAGCCAAGAGAATGTGACAGCCATCAGGCATAGCTCTCTGATTTATCCACCTTGAAAATAAAGAAAATCATTATTCAATAATTAGATCATTATCTACCAATTTAATGTTGATTGTCATATAAGTTTAATGACAAAACCTCAATGGGTTGTATTAAAATTTAGAAGTCAATCTTGGGGAATGGACTTTCTGTTTCTTTACATCAGCAATGAATAAGTTCAGCCAAGAGAGCCCATTTGAACCCCCAATCCTTGTTCTGTTTC